ACACATATACATACATATATACTTATATATACATGTATATATGCACACACACACACACACATATATGTGTGTGGACATTGAAGTCAACACACAGAATCGACTGTTTCATGCTAAACGTAATAACAATTGCATGAAACAAACTATCGCTTGATGGTGTTGACTTTAATGTCCACTTTTATATTTAGATACGCTCTACGTGTGATATTAAGCAGTTTATCCCATAAATATATAATACCATAAAGATATATTTTACCACATTACATATATATATATATATATATATATATATATATTGGGATAGGTATGGGTCCATATATGAACTTCACCCCACCCCCGATACCAGATACTGTAATGAGACTCTATTGTTTCCGACTTGCTAAAATATTTGTTGGAGAGAAAAGAAAATAAGAAAGCCAGCTACTCCCCGTTAACCACCCCTAAGTCGGTAGTTAATAACTGTAAAATTAAAAGGCTATCGTCAATAACTTTGAAAAGTCATTAACATTCCAGATTCACTTCGTACTATTGGTTTTCTCTTACGTTATAAATGCAATATTTCAGTTGATCCATTCTTAAAAGAGAAACGAGTATGATTAGTGTTTGTAGAATGTCATATATTCTAATCGGTTTGCGTACATAAATGTATGATTCATTGTATACTTTTTCCTGATTCCTGGCCAAGAGAAATTTCTATTCATTTTCGTATGTTCTCAGTACATAATAATTATTTCTCAAAAAACAAAAAACAAAACAACATTGGAACGAGAAACAAATACGTCTTAAAGCTAATAAACAAAACTAGACATAAAACCGATGGTCCTGGGTATGACGATAAACAATATCTGGCAGCAAGACCTCTGATCAGAAGATTGTAGGTTTTGAGAAGCGTGGAACCACCTCTTAATTGCTGTTTTTCTCAGGTCCATCCTGATCATGGATGTTAGTACGTGTTAAGGTCCCGGCTCTGGTTAAATAGTAAACTCTCAAACAAGTATATTTTTATAATAAAATGAGTAAGAACACATTTTCATAGCAAAGTTACAACAACAAAAAATATAAAAATGCATTTTTATGATAAAATTGCCATCTCAGTTTAGTGCTATGCGTGACACACGCTTAAGCAATCATGTATCTTTCGATTCATGACTGACGAGGCAGATTTTTCCCCGCAGTTGGTTGCCATTTCTTTCTGCGGTAGACCAGTTGCCATCCAAGGCTCTAGAATTTACCCATAGCTGGGGGGAGAAGAAGAGAATTCATACCTTTCCCAAGGGTATTAGCACATAAGTGAATGTAATGGATTCGATTGGAATTTGATCTCCGCTCTCCGATTCCTCAACCCCAGCCGCTATCCATTACTCTACCATGCCTTTAATTACTAACTATATATGTAAAAAAAAAAACATACCTTTACACTGAAAGAGAAATTATGTACAAAATATCAGTTGAAAGTTTAAAATTACGTACAAAATATTTACATTATTTACATTGTTTGGACTGTTGCCATCATCTTTATTGCCATGTTCATAACGTTTCACGCCGCTGGCGAGTATTGTATTTTGTTGATGTTATAAAGATTCCGTTTTGGTTATTCCTCATTCAGTAGCCCTCCCTAGGTTACCACAGAAACATTAAACCAGTATCGAGGCTGTAGTAATTAGGTTGGTGTTCGAACCCCGGTAAAAAGACTGAATTTTGTATTGCTGATTTTTTAGGCGTGAAGATCCTCAGAACTTACGTTCTTTTCGCCATTTTCCCCACCGCCTGGTCTAACGCTGTCCTAATTTTGGCTTAATAAAAATCAATAAATGAAATAACATTATTTACATTTGCTTACACTTGGACTATTGTCCCCATCCTTTTTTTTTTTTTTTATCACAACCTTTCGGCCGTAGTGCTTTCCGACCATTATTGGATGATTGTCGATCCGAGTAACCTTTAAAGAAACTTAACACTTTATTTAATCTACAGGTCTGCATTGTTCTCGTTCCGCTCTCTATATCTAGGGATCTCTCATCTTGTCCTGATTTAGTAATGTTCGCTTCGTTTCTACTGAATCTAATTTTCTACTACCTGGCCCAGTGATTGAACTCACAATTGTTATGTCACCAAATGCACAAACCATCGCTACTGGAGGTTATTGCTTCGTGAGTTCAATTCCTAGTACGAGCAGTGCAGACTTAGCAAGTATGATGAAGTTGCTAGTAACATACCCAACCGGTTTGGATTAGAGTTCACCCAGATTAGTTGGCAATCAATGCTCAGCTATTTAACCTTATAGTGGGGGTGGAAAAATGGATGCATAACTTCCCAATGTATGAATCTATTCAAAAGAAAACGTAAAGGTTTGGCAGGAACTCTACAAAAGCATTAACCAATCACGCTTTCTATCAATCACTTCGATATGCGCCAAACATATATATATATATATATATATATATATATATATATACTTATAAATTCATGAATCATTCATACAAAAAACAAATATAGAGGTTAATGATTTAAATGGCGAGAATACATCGTCGCAAACACATAAATAAGATACACCAACCCCGAACCTGTATATGAATAATATGATCCCTGTTGATAAATTCCAGTTGCATAAGGTCTTTTTAATTTTTTACAAGCTTTCGTCTGTTCCTACAGACATCATCAGGTATGGAAGTAGATTTTGTTCTTGTTTTTACTTCTCGGTAATAAGAGGACAACGAAAATAGAGATGTTATCCGAATAAATGCTATGAGAAATGTGTTATTGTTTTGGAACGTGCGGTCACAACGCTGAGTTTGAATTTAAATTTTAAGGTTGTGCGTTTTTGTACAAATATAGCAATAAGAGAATTCTTTTTTACTGGTAGATTTTCCGTCAATATGGCATGAACTATATTGTTCAATAATTACAGTAATGTCACACTTATTATTATTTTTCATAGCATAGGAACAGACGAAAGCTTATGAAAAAGAAAAAAAAACAAAGTATTACATTTGGGGACGGCTTGGCTACAGGAGTTGCCGGAAAGTTATCAGTCTTGACAGCCTTCGGGGGATCCACTCTGAGTTTTCTATTCGGATGTACTTCTCCTAGACTGGCGATGGTATATGGACATCATGCGCTGCTTAAACTACATGGCCCCGATCTCGGATGTACTTCCATAGCCTTTTCTGTGTTTTGGATATGACAGCAACGTAGCGGAGATTTAAAATCAGGCTTTTCCTTTCCCTAGACCGACTGCCTCCATGGGCTGTCGGACTCCATCTACTACTCAATATATGACGTAATCTCATAATATTTTTTTTCCTTTAAGATGTTAGTGAAGGACGTAATGTAAGTCAAAAGCCACATCAATGTCTAAACGGGCTTTTCGGAAAATTAAGTTATTTCATTTTCGAAAATTTTGATCATTAAATGTATTCTTCACGAAACTCGGAGTAGACACAGATGAGTGAATATATATATATATATATATATATATGTGTGTGTGTGTGTGTGTGTGTGTGTGTGTGTGTGTGTGTGTGTGTGTGTGTGTGTGTGTGTTACTTAAAACGTTATTTTTAGTGGATACCAGTATTCGACCAGATGTCCGTTTTATTTTAAACAGGATTTATTTCGTCTACCGTGCTGCACACTGGAAAAACTTATTAAAGAAAATGTGCCCTCCGGCAGGATTCAAACTGCGTTCTTCTTTGTAGGAGAAAACAGCGTCTGATCCAGCGTAAATAATAAAATCTGTGCTATTAAAAATGAAATCCATGAATTTTTTTTTAAATTTCTTTATATATATATATATATATATATATAAACAATTTATAAAAAAAATTTATGGGTTTCATTTTCATATATATATATATATATATATATATATATATATATATATATATATATATATATATATATATATATATATATATATATATCCATTACATTATGTCGAATCCATTACATTCACTTACGTGCTAATACCCTTGGGAAAGGTGTGAATCTTCTTCTTCTCCCTCCAGCTATGGGGAAATATCAGGACAGACTGGGTTCTATAGCCTTGGATGGCAACTGGTCTAGGAGAAGGACAACTCTGAATTCAAAACCTGCGGAGGGTCGTTTGGGGACCTTGTGGCACTTAGTGCACCAGTTCTCTGTATTCGGCCCTTCAAAAAGTGTGGCTGGTCCTGCACGAAACCTTCACCACTATAATCAAATCTCATTTGCTGTTGCCGGGCTGTCGGTTTCCTGGGAACTGATCTGCTTGACCCTCATATTTGACGGGAGAGTCGACTATATATATATATATATATAAATTTCAGATAGAGTATATCTGTAAAAGGACAATATGAAAGACAAAATGAAAACTTAACTTAGCCGATGTATTTCGTCCTTTAAGTTACTTTTTGTCACAAAATAAAATCCTTACATTTGCCTTTACAAAGTCCCTTAAAAAAGGACGAAACGCTTTTGGCTAAAATAAGTTTTCATTTTACATTTTTCATATATATATATATATATATATATATATATATATATATATATATATATATATATATATTTGCGTGTGTGTGGAGAGAGAGAGAGGGAGAGGGAATGAGAAGGAAAAAAGATAGAAAGTCAGATATCTATTTTTTTAATTTTTATCTTCATATTTAATCTAACATATTTGCGTTTTGATGTACTTTTCTTCTTAGTCATAGTTGAAACTTTATTTGATTTTGCATAACTGTTCATTTTTCGCCTTGCAGACAAATGACTTAAAATAAGCAATTTTACTATTTTTGTTCATCATCTGAAGCAAGAAAACTAGAGCTAACTGTGAAAAATAACAATAATATTCGAATTCAGCGCCATGAAATTGTTTAAAATTAGCGATGATATCCCCTTGCACCATTTCAAATAAATGTTTCTAACCCAGTAATCAATGAATACAAATGAATTTTCATAGATAATGCAATGCATTGTTATACGCTTATTACAAAAATGTCAAATGAAACAAAAATTGTGAATTGACTAACCTGTGTGTAAACCAATGGAATTGTGATCCAGTCATACACAAAAAGCAGTGAGCATTTGTCTCGGAAATCAGCCAATTGCTACGAAAAGAACAAAAATTAAATGTTCAATTTTAAAAAGGAACACAAAAGATAGTTAACAGTTTACAAAATAGCTAAGTTTACGTAGATTTTTGTAAATGTACGTTACAAAAGGATTGAAACACATTAAATGTCGTATTTCGAAAGGGAAAATTAAAACAATAACCTTTCGAACAAAAAACAATCTTAGTATTTCATTTCTAAGATGAGTAATTGTCAATATACTTTTTCTTATTTCTAACTATTGTTCACATCTTGATTGATATAGATGTTATTATACACAAAGAACAACAACTGGCAGCACAATAATAAAATAATCCAATAGTCGACATACCAGGCAAAACAAGGCACGCCTGATAATGGCTGAAACGTTGTCTGTAATTACATCTATATCAATCAAGATGAAAACATGAGTTCGAAATCATATAAAAGTATATAAAAAGTTAAAGGAAACCTTTAATAAAAAAGATTATTTATTTTACACTTTTTTATTCTGACCAGTACGCTTACTTTTTTAAAAAAATTTATGTTCTGCTTACACAGTTTCAGCATTTCCGAGGGTAGTTTGAAAGGCCGAAATATTGTGAATATAACAACCTTGATGAGCATGATAGACAGAAACATAAAGTAAAAAATAACCAGTTGATTGTATGAGAAATTGAATACTTTGTTATATAAATAAATGTATATTTTGATTAAAAGGAGACCATGTTATTCTAATAACAAAAGCTGTAATAATGATAATTCCTCATCTCAAAATTCCCGCCATAAAGTAGCTATTTAGTTAATCTTAGTGTTGGCACAAGACTTCACGTATGGAGACCCCATTTAGGATCAAATTTAATACACAATAGAAAAACTCTACTAGATTTGATCGCTGACCATTATTCTACTGCGAAACGCACTTTTTTCATCAAAATTAATGACGTTTCAGAAGTGAGTTGTTAATATTGCAGGTATGAGCACAACTCCAAATGACATAGTATCTGATTTTCTGTCAATTAAAGTATTGGGATGTCAGATAAATACGTTCATTTTAACCAGCGTTATTTGAATTAACACGCAAACTATGTTTACCGTTGTGTTTTATGGACTTTTTTTTAGATCTGTTCTTCCTAAACAACTTTTGTTTATCGTTTCGTTTTTTGTTTTTTTGTTTTTTGTAAATACGACTGAATTTTACTTCTTTTCAGATATATGACGATGCGGTGCTAAGTAAACAAAAAACGAGCATTTTCAACACTTGCTTCTCTTCAAGTTCAGCCAAGTTTCTAAAGCTACCAAAACTGTTACAGACATTTGTGATGTCTACAAAAAATAGAACATCACACAAATGGTTTTCACGCTTCAAGAATGAGAACTTCGACCTGACGAACTCACCGCGTTCCGGCCGGCCTTATCAGTTCAATGAGGACCGATTGAATGAGCTCATCCCTGAGGATACACGCTAGGGAATTGGCGCAACAGATAAGGTGGCTCTCATGATAACACTGTTCCTTTCACTCGATTTGTTAAAATTGCTGATAAATAATAAGAGTAAAATAAATGGGAAAAAAAAACGAACGTATTAATCTACTAATCCAATAGATTTAATTTTCTTTTCTTCGTTTTTCTTATCACGTCGAAACGACAATTAAGAGTTATAGATGCTACAAGGTTTGCTAAAAGATTTAAAATTTTGTCCTAGATATTTCTGCCATAGATTTGATTGTGGGATTCTTCAAGTTTCATTTTATATGTGATTTACAACTCCGATGCAATGTTTATTAAACCATCGTTTTTTCGTTAACAGCTAAGCTGAGTCCGTAATTTAAACTTATGCAAAAAGCATTAACCGTACTTGCTTTCAAAAATAAGATTTATTTTTCTGATCAACAAAAATCAATTCTTTTCAACACTTGAAACTTTGTATACTACACAGTAGTCGCCCATTATTTATGGTATCATCTACCTTCTGTCACTTCTTGTTCTATGTGCAGTGTTACTTCAAGATGTGGACAATCATGGCTCTCCACAACTTCCAATCATCATCATCATTCGACCGGAGTTGGGATTATCGAGCCAAGGCGACTATTTCTTTAGCTGTATAGTGTGCGCTACGCCAGAACGAAATTCAGAGTTACTTTCTCCTAGACCGGTTGGCTATAGAACCTAGCCTGTACTGCTATCTACAAGTAGAGTGGCTAGATGAAGTGGATTCATACCTTTCTCAAGGGTACTAGCACATAAGTGAATGTAATGGATCTGAAAGGAATTCGAACTCGGCTCTCCGATTCCTCAATCAGAGACGCTATCCGTGCCTCCAAACCTTTTCAGCTCTAAATAATATTTGTCCCATTACTATCCTTACCCAGTCCCTATTCGACCAACCATTTACACAAGATCGTTAGTCAAGTTATTAGATGTATCTTTTGCTTTCATTATGACTTATCAAATTCTCTAAGCTCTCTTTCCTCATTATGTGTCCGAGAAAATACAACTGACCCTTTCTGATCCTAAGTATTACTCCTTGTTTGTTTTCCTTTTGCCTTAAAACTTCCTCGTTGCTCACATATTCCTTCCGTGGTATCTTCCTGTAGGGCCACATTTGTGTTACCTCATGTTTCTTCTTTATCTGTGAGGAAGTTGTCAAATATGCACTGTTCTATATGAAGACTGATATTGTATAAAATTTCAGCACTATTTTCTTTCAAATAAACACTTCCGACGTTCTACTTGATAACGGTTACAATGCATAATGATGCATGCACTTACTGTATATACAAATAAGCCGTAAAAATCCCTTTTGTAAATGTAACAATTAAGTTCTCGCCTTTAAAAATACTTTTTTTCCATCACACACACACACATACATACATATATATATATATATATATATATATATATATATATATATATATATATATATATATATTTCTGTTTATGCGTTTTATAGATATAATTTATTTGAGCAAATGTTCTGTTTTTAATTAAACAGTATTAATTACATTTACCGACCTGAATGTTCGAGAAATTCAGGCCGTAAATGTAATTAATACTACTTAATTAAAAAAAACAGAGCATATACTTAAATGAATTCTATTTATAAAAATAACGTATAAACAGAAAATATTTTTAGATAATTGTCGGGACTTAATAAATTATATATCTATATCTATCTATCTATATATATATATATATATATATATATATATATATATATATATATATATATATATATATATATATATAATGAAATATATTTTTATGGTGTGCTATATTTATGGGATAAAGTGCTAAATATATGAGATAGAGCGTATGTAAATGTAAAAGTGAATATAGAAGTCAATACTCAGAGGCGACAGGGTGTTTCATGCTAGACGCAATCGTCAGGCTGCGAGTGTTGGGCTTTTTTCTTTATTTATATATATATATATATATATATATATATATATATATATATATATATATATATATGGGTCAGTGGTGTATTGTGAGTAGTCCATTCTGGCGGTTATTTTTGTTCATTTACTTATTTATTTAGTTATTTATTTCTGTTAATTTATTTTACTTGTTTTTATTTAATTTCATTTTCTATTTTATATTTATTCTTTTCGGTTTTCGATGTTTTATTAACGTAGTAAAAATTAGGGATGTTGCTTAGGTCGCTTACTTAATAGTTTATTTTGGCCTGGGAAGATAATTAAAGCTATGTATTCATCCAATTTTTGAATTGATTGTTGTAGTCTATTGTGCAATTTTGCCAGTGGGGGACAGTTTTATAAATGAACAAAAATAACCGCCTGGCGCCATGCTGCCTGACGATTGCGTCTAGTATGAAACACCCTGTCGTCTCTGAGTATTGACTTCAATGTTCACTTTTATATATATATATATATATATATATATATGTGTGTGTGTGTGTGTGTGTGTGTGTGTGTGTGTGTGTGTGTGTGTGTTATGACTTTATATAAATTTATTTGTTACAATTTTCGCTCATTTTTCATTGACAAGATGAAATCTCCAACTTCTGACAAATATTATAGAATTAGCATACTTACAGGAGTTTCACTTGTTTGTTTTTTTTAATTCAGCAATAAATAATGACTAATAAGGCAGAAAACATTTTTCATTTAACAGTTGAATATTCTGGCTTCATAAAATATACATTAATCCAAGTAAATTAAATTAGCCAATTATAATTGTTCTTGTCTCTCCTTTCGTTATTTCGCACGACCGTTACGCCCTGCCAATACCTCATAAATAATGAACTTTTCCATTTTGATCGCGTGGTTTCGGTGAGAAAATGAAAGAAAAAAAGAAAGAAAGAAGGGAAGATAGAAGTGGAGAGACGGAATCAGATTAAGCCGATAAGAACAGATACCACAATTTGATCTTAACCAAAACGCCCAGAAGCGATTGCATTTTCTTGTCGCCCAGCGCTGGTCCGTTTAATGTAGAGAGCTCAGTCGGTTGTGCTGGCATAGGTATCACTACCACCACCCCTATGTAGTGTAATGAGGTAGGTAGTGCTGCGGGCATATCTGTTTCCCCGAGTGCGGGCACCTCTCAATAATAGTTGCACCCCTCAGTTGCACAGAAACACAACTGACAGTTGAAATATAGTGTATCCGTCTGAGGGCAGATACTAGACTTTGATCCTAGTCAAAAGGTTGAGAAGCGATCGTATTTATCAGGGTGCCCACCTCGCAACGGAAATGATCGCAGCTTAAAGTGGGTTTAACGGCAATACCGCAGAAAAATTGCCGAGGCCCTTTTGGGGTACCTCTCATGCCCCTAGCAATAAATCCAGCCCTCTTTCGAAGGATAGGTAATGCTCAGGGGAAGGCCTCCTTGGGCTTGGCCTAATATTAATTAGTACAATTTCTCGGACAAAAGACAGAGGGGTTATGGCGGCCGTGATAAAACCGGTATTTTTTAGACGCACGGTATCGAAGAACGGAAGCAGACTAAGGAAATCGCCTAAAATCCAGCTACCGTAAATAAAATAACATCGTCTACTGAATTGTTTTAAAATTATTATTAAGAGAAATGTTTATAAGACAGGGATTTGGCTAGTTTAAATTAATGATATAAATTTTTTCCAAGTCATGTAGAGGAAAATATTATGGTGTAACCCAATGTTGAAGAATAATTAAAATAGTTTAATCTAGTCTGTTCAAGATATAATTTAGGAAGCCAAAATTTCAAATAAATAAAATTGTTTTCTGTCTTATCTGTTATTAATTTATTCACAGCTAAATAAAAAAGATAGCTCAAAAAAAATATCCTCTAAGTGTGCGAATTCCATAATTTCTGCCAGTGGATGTTATATTTCGTGAAATTTTGAGCTATATACTTACTACATGTAAATAATGCAATAAAGTGATGTTTTTTTTGTGTGTGTGTGGCGTGTATTATGCACTCATTTCCTCCCACTGTATATAACAGGTGTTCTTACCTGTATTATCATGCGCATGCCCCAGTCAGACTCAATGCGTCCCTCTCTTCTGGCAGTGACCAACATATTATTGGCCCAGGTAAGCGGCACCCAGAATTTATGGTACTTACATCGCACACCTTCCCATAATTCCACTTCCTCCTTTGTCATGAAACCTGTAATGGGAGGAAGTAGTCTCAATAGTGAACGCTAACATTTCAAGAATATCGAATACGCGAAAAAGAAGTTAAAAGGTTAAATATACTACAAAGAATATCCAAGATTATGGTGTCATTAGATTCGAAAGTTTAATAAGGAAAAAAAGGAAAGAAATGTACTATTATACAATTTTTTAAGACTTTAAATCCAATTAAATAATTGTTGTAACCCAGGGAAGGTTATTGAATAGAATAATCACACGAAGGTTGGTAATGAACGATAATACTTAGGACAAGAACAACACATATAAGATTTGCCAATGAATCTCCAACTGCGGGATATCTACCAACTGCCCCACGCAGTCAGATGTGGCACAAGAAGACCGAATTGAATCTGGTGTATCCGAGCCCGTAGGCTTGACCAAAAATTTTCCGTAGACCCCGTATAAAACGGGTTCCGTAGCTGTTTCCAGAGATGAGACTCTGCTCTTCGACATAGCCTCGTCTGGGGATCCTCTCTGCCTCCTGGCAGAGAGGTTGATCGGTACAGCTGGAGACGAATCTATAACTGGAGACCAATATACAGTATTTACTACTGTATCTATGTGAATGGAGATATACCCATTATTGTCCGTAGGTATGCTACAACAATAATAAATAAAAATCTAACCTCACTGACACATTGTTTTAAGAAAATAACTTTTTTTTATCTGAATTGCTAAGATGAGGAGTTATCACTATTTATGCTGTTTCTCTCCTCTCTTTCTCTCTCTCAATATATATATATATATATATATATATATATATATATATATATATATATATATAGACTATTGTCCTCAGCTTTGTTGTTGTTATCACAATATTTCGGCCGTTGTGCACTCTGGCTTTCATCAGGTGTATATCGAACTTGGTAACCTACAAGGAATACCGAAATGAACCCTTTATTCAATCTACAGATGTAGACTGCTCTCGTTCCGCTTCTAATATCTAGGGATATCATCTAGTTCTTATTTTTATTTAATACTGTTCACTTATTGATCGGCCGTTTCTACTGAGTACAAGTACACACAGCCCGACCCCGGGATTGAACTCAAAACGACTATGTCACCAAATCCACAAACGAACGCTTTTACTTACTAGGCCATTGTCCTGAGGAAGACCGGGGGACACAATGGCCGAAACGTTGTGATAAAAAGAACAAAGATGAAGACAATACTCTGAATATATATAGTGTAAATAAAATGGTTATTTCAATTTTCAGATTGCTAAACTTTACTAATATCAACACCATTCCTATTTTCCTTTTCATTATCGCTATCAAGAAAAAATGTCAATTTCAAAAATTTTTGATATTGTTCATAGGTCTAAAAGTGTCGTTCATCGTGTAATTAGCAGGTATAAAACCGATAAAACGTTAGATGCAAAACCAACAACCGGCAGACCTCCAAAAACATCGCAAAGAAAAGATCGAAGAATTGTTAGAATATCTACAAAAAACGTTTTGAAACTGCTACATCAAATGCCTGTAAATTTAATGAAGAGACAGATAATAAGATCTCAAGAAAAACGGTTGCTCACAGGTTAAAAAATGCAGGATTGCATGCTCGTATTCCAGCTTCGAATCCTCTCATTTCAAAGCGAAACCAAAGGGCACGCCTGGAGTATGCGAGAGAACATGTTGTTTGGACTGACGCACAATGGGATACAGTTCATTTCAGTGAAGAGTCCAAATTTACTATATTTGGTTCTGAGGGCAAAATTTACGTACGCCGAAGAACAGGTGAAAGACTGTCTTCGCAATGTGTCAAGAAAACCGTTACGTTTGTTGGCATCAGTGTGATGGTGTGGGGAATGATTTCATCTGCAGGGGTTGGCCCTATCATCTGCGTATATGGCAATATCAATGCTGAGATTTACAAAAGGCTTCTTCAGCTGTATGTGGTACCAAGATTACACCATAATCCTTATGAATCTCCTATTTCCATGCAGGACAATGCACCTTGCCACAAGGATCAGAAGGTTATGGCTTTATTTAAAGAAGAAGGAATCGCCCTAATGAAGTGGCCAGCCCAGAGCCCCGACCTGAATCCAATAGAAAATGTTTGGAAGATAATTGGAGAAAGGCCTCAGAAAAGAAACCTGAAAAACCAGGATCATCTATGGGAGTTATTAAAACGGGGGGGAATTACTGCTGATTTTTGCAAAAAAATAATTAGATCATGTGGTCGACGATGCAGAGGAGTCATTGAAAATAAAGGGATGTTTACCAAATATTAAATTTTGTTGATATTTTGTTCACAATCAAGTATCAACAAGATCGTCCCTTAACTTTTGTCCAGTAGCTTATTTCCTTTGTTCCATTTAATCTTTATTTAAAAAAAAACCTATTATGTAAATTTTTGTAACTTTGTATAATATTTATGCATTACACCCTAATCTTTATTCGGTAAAAATTTCATTGCTAATCATGCATTACTTTTTAAGTAATACACATATTTATGTCTTTGTTGTTTCCGTTCCTTATATTATGGCCGCTACTGTATATGCCAAATGTTTTCTAAATCTAAACACAGAATAGTCTTAATTATATTGTGATTATTTGGTTAATGAGATAGTCTGGTTGGCCATTACTAATAAGTTTTGAATTCGAGAGATACTGACAGCATTAGACAATTTTGAGATTGACATTTTCATACGCCATGTCCCTTCAAAACGAGCTGTGAAACCTTGCATGAATTAATTTCAACTCTTCTTATTAATGACTGCATTGTTTCTTTCAGGGTAAACTGACATCTTACAAACAGACATTTGACTGTTCAAAGATGGCTGTTCATCCTATTGGTAAAAAAATATTACATAATAAGGTACTACATTGAGAGCTACTAGAACTATCAGAAAAGCTTGATTTACACGGAAAATATATTTGAGTAATCCGTAATCTGCTTGGGCATTATTAATAAGTTTTAAATTCGGGAGATACTGATAGCTTTAGACAATTACAGGATTGACATTTTTATACGCCATGTCCCTTCAGCACTTAGGCGATCATGACTTTCGACAGGTTCCTTTTCTCTACTATCACTTAACTGCCATACTTTTTTTTGTAAAAGATAATAGAATGATTTCCCGTTGCCGTCTCTGCGGTTTTGTATTCAGAGTTTTCCTCCTACTATACTTGTCCTATTTAATTCATTGCTGGGTTCATACCTTTCCCAGGATAATTAGTGCGAAAGTGAATGTAACAAGATCGGTCGCAATTTGAACACAGCTCGCCAATTCCGCTTTATGCGCCGATAGCCGTTATGCGACCCTACTAAAATGATAAAATAAATATATGACAGCGGTGAAATACTGGAAAAACCTCAGTATATCTATCCTTGATAGGGATATCAAATAAGCCAGGTGGAAATGAATACACACAATAATCGGATAATTCGCTTGTTGAGTCACATAACAAATCCTATGAACAGAGCTTACAACAGAATTATACCAGAAATAGTGTAAGTACAGAATGGCTTTGTCTAAGACACTGGAAAATTAAATTTTGTTTTTATTAGAATTTTATCAAAGGAAGCAATACAAATGTATTTACACTCATAGCTACGGGGGTAGGCTGAAAAGTTTATAGGCTGACCCTGAAGCAGTGATCCTAGAGCTGTGAATTCTTTCATAGGTTAATTTAAACTTATCTTATTATTAATTATTGCTTCCTTCCGGGTAAACTGACATCTGACAAACTGACATTTGACTGTTCAAGGGAGACTGTTCATCCTGTTGGTCAAAAAAAGATTACACAAAGGCATTTAATAGACTACGACACGGAGATCTACTTGAAATATCAGAAAAGCTTGATTTATACGGGAAATATATATGAGTAAGTCGTAATCTCTACTGGAGACAAACATGGATAAAAACCGAGTTTTAGTAAATGCACAAAAATAGAAAGAGGAATACAAGAGATTGTTTTATCAGCAGATTTATCCAACCAGAACAATGGGTTGATCCTAAAAACATTAGAAAACTTAGCAGGATTTATTATTGTCGAACAAATCCTAACGTAAAATACGCAAGGCACTTCGATATGGGAAAATGGTTAGCAAATGGTTTCACCTAAACGGATCTTCAGGGTAAACTGACCAGTTTACCCTGAAGATCCATTTAGGTGAAACCTAAAAAGGTTTGCCGGGCTCGTTAGGATACATATATATATATATATATATATATATATATATATATATATATATATATATATATATATATATACAGATCAGGCCCAAGAATTATCATGGGATGAACTCGACAGAAGCTCTTAGAGAATTTGAAAAAACAATGAAATCACTCATCAAACTTTGAGAAACTTTTGCAATGAAGGCCAAAAATTTGTGCTGTTGTAATGAAGCCTAGAGGAAGATATTTTGACAAGAGCAAAATTTAATCATTATTTTTTTTATTTTTTTTCATAAGAAAATTTCTAATCAAAAATCAAGTCTCACCTTTTTTTAACCATGTATAATAATTTTTTCTTCTTTAAAATACAAAACAACTACTTTTGGGACTAATTTTAAAAATTACCAGGAGTTTCCTCAAACTTTTTAACTGTAGTGTATCTATCTGCCTATCTATCTATCTATCTATCTATATATATATATATATATATATATATATATATATATATATATAGTACAGTCAAACAAATTACATACCATTACTCGAAGTAAGCTATAAAACAATATATAACAGACCAGATATAAGAAAAATTATATAAAAAAAAAAAAATTTGCACCGCCTGAGACAGCGGTAAATCAAACAAGGAGTCCACGACTCAACCCCGGCTTATATTATCAGGACAGAACCCTGAAGCTAAGACAGAATGCCGATATATCACCGAGTCAGAACATTCAAATGGAACAGAATGCTTATCAGTCAGAACGCCCCAAAACAATGGAATGAGACAGACCAAGCGCTCTGAATGTGTGGACTCTTGTAAAAATCGCTTCGATCGTTGTATACAAGAT